ATAGTAACAAAAATAATTACAAAAACTTATTGTTTCGTTACTTTCGTACACAGTTTAAGATAGTGTGTTAATTACAAAAACCTATAAAATACACATAAAATATCAAGGCCAATCTGCTGTCTTAAAGTTGTTGTCTATTTAACTGTTTCACCAATACATTTTTTACGCGTCGACACATCACCAAACATAATATTTTTGTCATACTACGCGACATTTTCCACCACATGAATAACAATATGAATTAATTAATCTAGGTGACTTAATGATTTTAAAAAATGAGTATTTTAATTTATCTTAACCGGATTATATTATAATAATATTTTACATTGTTTATCATAGTAATTGGAACCTAATAAATTAAGCACAAAATGTGAAAATTAGAATATTGAAATTAAGGAATTAATCGAGGGAAAAAAAAAAATCATAACCACCATACATTAAGAATGCAATTTCAAAAATATCAAACTCAAAACTCAGATAATAAATCATATTTATCTTTTCTAAAAATTAAATATATGTTGATTTTTTTTCAATTCCCAAAATAAAGGCAAATCCGTTAATAGTTTTTTTCTCACTTTCGCACATACAGATTTCTTAATTCCATAATTTCACGAAGAATCAATTTCACCTTCTCGTAGTCACAATTTCACTTTCGCACCTAGTCAACATCACAAAAAGCAGAGAGATTCAGAGAACATGGAGACAAAAAACAAAGACACTGAACTCCATGTAAAACCAAAACTACAATCACGAGTAAGTGAATTATAATCAGAGGAATTCCAAACACAATCATACATGTAAGGTCCCAAAACACAGATACTAACAGATCGAAGATCTCAAACCACAATACAAGTACAGAAACATAAAAATAACATCTGAACAACAGATTTTTCACCTCGTAGGATCTGGATGTTCAGTCACAAAGACCTAATCACTCGTTGAGCATCCACAAAAGATATAGCTCTAAATCCACTAAGTATCAACCAAGAATATTACAAATTTTTGAAGAAACCAAAGGTTTCTTCATATTAATCTCGCCTCAACAATGCGGACACTGCAATCACCAAGACCAATCCTTAATCTATACAGACTTCACAAAGAATGGATTGACAAGAACACACAGCACGACTACAGTGACAAAACCAGAGTAAACCCTAATCCACACTCAGAGAAAAAAGGGAGCACAGATAGAGACGAATAGTGAATAGAATGATCTCGAAACCAAGTACACCAAAGGCCAAGTCAACAAGTAATATGAACAGTTGCAATCCAAAGACAGAGAATCAGCCACGTGTAAGGCTGGTAATAATCATCAATGAGGCCAGAACCCGAAATTACTTAAGTCCACAGAACCAGCAACCAAAAGAGCCCAGCCCAATAGTATAGAGGGCAGCCTAATAAAATAATCACCACCTTGATGAACTATACTATGGCTACTATAATGGATCAAGAATAAGCTATACTTACTTTGCTTCATATGCTCCAAAAAACCTACAAAAGAAAAACACAAAAATTAGTTCAGGTTTATTCAAAATAACATTGCTTGAAGTTCTAATTATCACATCAAGTGATATTTAAAATCTTCAAGCAGTTTTTGAATTTATTTAGAGGTAATACCTTTGTCCCCACATCTGAAGGGTTGTATTCTGTTGGAATTTTAACCAAATTGATTAAACTCTTTTAAACTATATTTCTCACAAAGTGAAACTTAATATCTATATGTTTTGTTATATCATGATTAACAGGATTTTTACTAAAATGAATGGCACTTTGGTTATCAATGTATATATCAACAGAATCATTAACAAAACCAATTTCATTTAACAAGCCTTTCAGCCACATACATTCTTTCACAGAATCACATGCAACAATGTATTCAGCTTCAGTTGAGGATAAAGCAACCAATTTTTGTAATTGTGACTTCCAACTAATACAACCATCATACAAAGTGAAAATATAAGAAGATGTGGATCTTCTATTGTCTAAAATAATCTTGAATAACAGCATTTTCAGATTCATTTTCCAGAACAGTTTCCTTAACAGATGTAGATTCAGGAGCTTTTTGATTTGATGATTCATAACAAAGCATGTCATCTTCATTGAAAATGACATTTCTACTAATAATGATTTGAAAACCATTTTGGCACTTGACCCAGAGTCTGTATCCTTTAA